CAATCCTCCACCTGGAAAGGCCCCTCGGGAAAAATCCACACCATGAGATAGGGATGGAGCCGGCACTAGAACACGGCCTTTTGCCTGTAATCAGGAATGAACTCAAAGCCCGTGGCCTGACCCCAGCCACGGCCAGAAAGACACTTTCTACATGATGATTCATCCCTTAGAACCAAGCACACAGCCCCAGGGGTAGTGCCCTGGCAGGCAGTTCCTTGACAGGAAACCTGTGCATTTGGTTTTCTTTGAGTTTTTATACAGAAACCTTCAGTGCACTTGCTGTGCCCTCTAAGAGCTGGCGGAGGTGGGAACGGGAACAGTCCCCACTTGGCTCCATCCCTTCTCTGGCTGCTGGATAACAGTGACCACGGCGGCATCCCATCCCACCGCTGCATGCTCCACTGCTGTGTGAAAGGAAGGTCTAGAGATAGGGAGGTAAAGATGGGGTGATAAGAAACTGGAGGGGCAGGCTGTGGGGGCAGGAAGTGCTGGGGAGTTAAGGGAGAGAAGGTTGGCGTGGCATCCTGAGCCAGGCCACAGGTGACCTTGAACAGCAGGTCAAGGGGCTTGGACTTCATCCTGTAAGCCAATGCAACCCTGCCTTTTTCTCACGGTGACATGGGACCATGATACTGTTTGTCCTGGGGTGGACCAAAGAGCTGTGTTGCCCTTAGCTCACGGGGTTGGGAAGCTCTGCTGTAGGTCACAAAACCTACTGGTGGCTTCAGCAACAACATGCTGGAGTGGCCGGGTGGTGGGTGGAAAGCAGTAAAGAAGTCAGTCACTGCGGAGTCCAAGCTCGCATGAGGAACACCTGCGCCTGGGCCTGAGCCAGTGGAACAAAAGGAGAAAGTGGGCCACATGGGCCGGGGCTGATCCTTCTGAAAACGCGGGCCCTGCCCTGCCTCTGAGCCTGCCTTGAGGGGATTCCAATAATTTCTCTCCCTTCTGCACTGTGCAACCCAGAACCTGCGCAGTCAAGTTTCTGCTTGGCCTTCGAAGTCCAGGTCAAGAATTACAGCACCAAACCCCAAAAGTACCAGAACGACAGGGGATGGCCCAAAGCAGAACTGACCTCTGCACTGCTAGAATCAGAAAATTCAAGCTCCAGTCTGGCTGGGTGCCCAGGACAGTTTCACGCTCCTGAGAGGCAGAGACTAGAACCAGCTTTCATTCCCCAATGTCTGCAAGATGCTACGTGCTCGACACACATGTGCTAAACTGCTCAGAGAAGGGCTGTGGGTTTCTCGGGTGGTGGAGGCTTCCCACATGAATGGAGTCTTCTTTAAATCCTGGCCTGACACCCCTTTTTGTCCAACAGTACAGTGATCCCCAGAACTGGTGGAATACTGAGCTGGACCCCGAGGTTCAGGCAAACAGGGAGAGGGGGCAGCCGGAGTAGCTTGTCTTTGGAAGGACACCGGAGCCCTTGTAGCCAACAGCCAGGCAGGGAATTAACATACAGACCTATTAACTCACCACCTCTAACGTCAATTCCAGAAAATATGTCCCTGCCTTCCCACATGGCTCCAAGGAAGCAGGGACCACCTGGCAGAGGCTGCCAGCATCCTGCAATTCTATCTTCTCCTCTCCAAAAAGGTCAACAGTTTGGACCACCCCCGTTTCCTTGCAAGGGACCCTGTGAGGGTGGCACAGGCAGTCTGCCCAGAGGGACATGTCCATGCTCTGCCAGTGGGCTCCTCCTTGACAAAGGTCTTTTTGAGCTACACATGTGAACATATCCATGAGAACTGCATCTGCTCAGACACAGGAAGGTGAGTGGCAGGCCAGCTCACCACTCTGCCCAGCTCACCCTGACCTCCAAAGACAGGTCTGGAAATCTTCATTCCAATGTTTTTTGGGGGAGGATCTATGACATCACAATCATATTGCATGGATTTCAGAATCCCACTGTTCAGCGTGAGAGATAAAAGCCTCGGATGAGCAAGTGAGCAGAGGCCAAGATACATCTAAGTCAACTTAAACATATGGATATATGGAAACATACAGCTCTATTATGAAACTATTCTTCCCTGAAATGCAATATCCCAGAGGCTGTAACCTCAGGGCTACCCCTCATTAATGACCCCAGGATCACCCCATTCCAGAGCCCCAAGGGAGTCAAAGCTTTCTGAAAAGAATCAGGAATGCCTGACCCTGACAGCAGCTGCTGCCTGCAGATGGAGGCCGGGAATCCTTCTCATTCCCTATGATTACAGATCCGTAAGATCCCACGGTAGCCCTCCTTCCATCGCCACGACAACTGCGACTACCTGTGCTGTAAGCAGGCACACAGCTTCAATGGCAGCCCCTCTGCCTGGACTCCTCCTGCCCCCCTTAACTTGACTATCCCCTGCACTGAGTTCAGAAGAACAAGGCCCCTGCTGGTGGCCCCCAAAGCCAATCATCCAGGCACATCTGCGGCCAGCTGACATCCGACAGCCAGTTATGGCGGATGCTCTAAGCTCGGCGTGGAGCACCTTCTGGACTCGGCCCTTTGGCTGAGACTTCCTGAGTACCACAGGAGCAAGGAGAGAAAACACCTATTAAGCATTCGGTCAAGAGACTACCCAAGGGAAAAATCAAGAGAAGACAGATGCCTGCCGCCACTCCATTCCCAGCCTCTTCTCAGCAATGCTAAGCAAAGCACAAAGTCCGACACGGTAACTCTACAGTGCTAATGCCCCCCAAAGACACAGACAGCTTCATTCATTCATAATAGCCCCAAAATGCACACAACCCAAAGGACCCTCAACAGGTGAATGGATCATCAAACGGTGGTGCATCCATACCATGGAATAGCACTCAGCAAGAAAAGGAGGTCCAGACACAGGTGAGAGCACAGAAGAATAACACCAGCACAATGCTGGAAAAAAAAAAAAAAAGGCCGGAGTACACACTGTATGATCCAATTGTATATCAGGTTCTAGCGGCAAAACTAATGTTCAGTAATGAAGATCAAGCTAGTTCCCTTGGTGGTCAGGGGCAGTGTTACTGGCTGGGAAAGAAGATGAAACCATCATCTAGGTTACTGGAAATCTACACCTTGATCTGGGTGGTTGTTACATAGATGTACCCAGACATAAAGCTTTCTTGACCTTAAGAATAAGTGCACATTTAAACATGTACATAAATTTACAAGTTTATTTTTTTAATGGCAAAGCCTGTTGATGCTTAAATTGTAACTGACATTTGCCTAAAAGTGAGGACAGTTCACTGGGAGCTGAGGGAGAGAAGCCTACTCAGTGAACTCCTACCCAACCTCCAGGACCCATCTCAAATTGTCCCTATTCTGTGAAACCTTCTCCCACTGTTCTGGTTGTAACCTAACGCTCATATTGCGGGGCATCTCTTCACAACAGTCAATCTTCTCTAAACCAGGAGCGAATCCTAGAGGAATGCAGGAACTTGTTACACCAAGCATTGGTTAGTATGTGCTTATTAAACACTCAATGATTGCCCAAGAAAGACAGGTACACACACACCCTGACAGTCCAAACAAGACCGCATCTCAGTAGACACTAATGCCCACCCCCAAAGAGGATGTCAGTTCTTCTCAGGCAACAGGATCCAGGCACTTGGCTTATTATCAAAAGAGATCACTTTCAACAACCCAGCCCAAGTCCCCTCCTCTAACACAAATCACAGCCAGAAGAGATCAGACGGGCACAGAGCAAACTCAGTTTCCAGTGTCCACCCCAGGAGGTTCCTCACTCCTTTTGAGGTCACCTCTGCCAGCACAGTCCTTGCCCAACCTAGGGACGGGACAGATCCACCTAGGCTCCCAGGAAGCATTTAATCAGGTGTAATGTTTAAACTTGACTGCTTGGCCATCCCCCAGCAGCTGGGGCTCCCTGCCCTCTAACAGTAAAGTCGCTGCCCTCGCTGGGGGAGGGCACCCACAGCCCCATCGCCTCTCTGCCCAGGCCTCCCAGCTCCTAGCCACTCCTAATCTTGAACTCTCTAGAAACCCAAGCCTGCAGGGGAAGCAGCTACAGAAACTTCACCTGCACGGGTCAATGTGGGTGAAGAAGGGCCAGAAGTGGTGTTTTGTCTAGTTCTGCAAAGTTCACACATGAAAAAAAAAAAAAAAAAAAAAAAGAAGCTGGATATACAGCTCCATGAATAGCAGCTCTCTTTTGGGTGGGTAGGTTGTAGGGGGGAGATTATGGGTGACTTTTTTCCTTCAAATATTTGTGTGCTTTCTAAGTTTCCACATTGAATAAATTCTTTTGAAAGAGAAACACACTTCATGTGTGGCACCGCCACCCCCAGCCGCTCTCCACCACTGGAGTTTCTTTTTCACCTCTTCTCAGCTACCTCCCAGGTAGACGCCTTGGTCCCAATGTCCTGTGCCCAGGCGGGGTCGGAGGTGGGGGTGGGGGGGCTCTTGCCCTCTCCCCATTTGGAGTCCTGATCCTGCAGGGGAGAGGCAGCTCCCTAAGCAATGAGGCCGCTGGAGTTGGGTGCTTGACTGACCCCGCCGATCCGATCCGCACCCCTGGCACCCTCTCCCCAAATCACCCCCCTGAAGCACCGCCCACCATTCAATTCCCCTTGCCTCGAAGGTACTTAGGAAGTGCGCGAACTCACACACACACACACACACACACACACACACACACACAGTCGCACTGTCTCCTCCCCTCCCTGACCTGGGCCACCGCCCCCAACAGCCCACGTACAAACTTCTCCAAACTCGCAACGGTGGCTGGAGGGGGTGGTGACGTCCCCCTAATGAAAATGAGAGCCCTCTCCCCTCAACGCACACACGTGTGGCGCCCCACCCCCTGGGCAACTGTAAATCTGGCCGGAGCTGGCCGCCCTGGGGCTTGGGGGCGGGCGTCCAACCCCAGCCTCTCACCCCAAGGCAAGTGACAGGAACAACTAGCGGCCGGCGAGCGGGGGCGGCGCGGGGGAGTTGCCAAGTGTCTGAGCTGCGCTCCGGGCTCCCCGAGCGCCCGGCCGGGCGATCCCGGGGCGAGCCTGGGCTGCGTTACCTTGCAGGTTCTGCACTCGGATGTCGCTGATCTGCCCGATGAGCTCCTCGCGTTGGAACCAGTCCCACTCGTGTGCAGCCATGAAGCGCGGGCGGGAGGGCCCGGGCCAGCGCGGCGCGGGCGGCGGGCGCGGAGAGCCTGGCGGGCGGGCGCGCGAGCGGCACGCACCGGCGAGGGCGCCGCGGAGCTGGAGCCGCGGCGGGCGCGGGCGGGCGCGGCGGGGCGGGGCGGCGCGTCGGGCCGCCCCCGCCGCGGGCTGGCAGCGAGCGAGCGCGGGCGGGCGGTGCGGGGCGCGGGCCTCGCGCTCACTCCCCCGTGCGGGGCGGGGACCCGCGGGGGCGAGGGGCGGGGCGGGGCGGGCAGGGGCGGGAGCTGGGTCAGGCCAGTTTGTTTTTTTTTCTTTCCGGGGTGTTTGTTGGTTGGATTGTTTGGTTACAAACCGGCGGTGATGAGGCGGGTCCCGGCCCCCAGATTGTGATGTCTCAGGAGGCGGTGGGCCAGGTGACGCAACTGGAGGTGGGCCCGCGGCTCTCAGTACCTGGTCTAGGAGGCAACCCCTCCCTCCTGTCCGGAATAAGACGCCCCGTCCGCGGGTTCCGTGTCCCCTGCCCACTCTTGAGAGGCAACCCCCAGTTGGAGGGACCAGGACCCGAGTCTTACCCATCCCCGAATCCTGGGAGCCCTAAGGGGAGCGTCGAGGGCCTGGGTCGGGGGTTATACTAGTGTAGAGGTAAAGTTGTGGGAGTCTCCAAAGTGGGGGGCTGTGGGGGAAGGGCCTTCTTCGTTGGTTTAGATACCAGGAGCCTTTTCCGGTCCAGTGATGTGACTCCAGCTTCTAGGAAAGAGCAAGAAGCAGGCCAGCTCCTAAGAGCTGGGGTACGCTGTGGGGTCTCCGGCCACTGAGTCTCCAAGTGGCTGTCTCTGGGGTCACTTGAAATTACTGAAAATGCCAGGACAGAACTTCCTGTGGAAATTACTGAAATTACTGAAAATGCCAGGACAGGCCTTCCGGTCCCCTCCTTCCCCACCTCCACTGTTGAACCCTAGAGAATTCCAGGATCTTATCTTGTTTGGGGCCCACCATGTGGTTTACACTCCTTAAAAGTGAGACCCTCCAGTTACCGAATTTGCCCAGGGCTGAGGAATTGCTTAGGAGCAGGAAGTCCCAGCCCCCTGCTCCCAGCTCAGCGCTTGGTCCCCTTCTGTGACAACTAAGGCCACAAAGACAATGGCTTTAAATATTCAGTGTTCCAAGAGGGGGGAAAAAATGAACAGGGCTCACTGGGCGTTGAAACACATGGGCCTAGGTGCATCACTGCTCTGTTCGCAGCAATGAATCTGGGAAACCCCGCTGCTCACTAATTACCCAGTAACTATGGAGGTCCCCGTGAAGGACAGACCTGTGCCCTTGAGGCAGGGCCCTGAAGGAGGGTGAGTCTACCCTGAAGTCATCCATGGGGGCAGGGGCTTAGGGTAGCCATTAAACAAGGGAAGGAGATTTCTAAAGTGGACTCTAGAAAGGAGAAAGTCAGTTTGGGTTAAGGAACTGTGAATGGGGGTGGAGGGCAGCACAGGTCTCTAAAGGCTGGCCTTGGAGCTGAGCCCAGAAGGAGGAGAGGAACCACCACTGGGACAGCAGTTTGGGCGGGGGAAGGTGGCATCTGTGGAGACAGAAGTGGAGGCCCCATCAGGGGCTCCTGGGTGCTTGGGCTTCAGGCAGAAACTTCCTCCCCGCTGCCTTGATTCTTAATCTTGTGGTCATTTCACACTCCAGGGAGCAGGATCTCTTTCTGCGTCGTGTGGAGCCAGTGTGGTAGTAGCAGCCAGGCTAATTTTGCCCCATCTGCTAGCCGTCTCCCTGTTTTTACACTTCAATTTATTTTCCATAATTGCTGTGGGGTGAAGTTGTGCTGAAAACCATTTTCTTTACAAAGCAAAGAGCTAAGAGAATCGGCGTTGTTCTCCATCATGAGACAGGTCACAGGGAATCTGTCTTTAAGCGACGTGCCCTGTGGATGTTAGCTACGGGGATGGGCCATTTTTCATGATGCAAAGATGACTGATCTTGGGAATGGACAGCCACGTCATTTAGGGAACATTACCCAGGCAGCAACAGCTCCCTGGCAGGGACGGACTATGATCGCCATTGACTGAGCACCAACTCAGAGACAACTTTCAGCCTAAAGAACTTCTTTGCTTTGCAGTAAGGTGGAAAGAATTTTAGGTGTTTTTCAAAAAGCAATAGAAGCCAGTATTGAGCATGAGGCTGGCCTCTAAAAGGTACTTGAATATTCATTGAACTCGTGTGTCAATATCACCCCTGTCTCCTATAGTGTCTCTGGGCTCCTCAGTGGGTCACAAAAGTCATCTGTGATTGATCTGTGCCCCTCAATCCTGGCTGTACACTTTTTGAGCCAGCAGTGCTGAGCTGCCGCAGGTCCTGGCCACATCCAGTCACTTCCAGACCTTTGCTCAACTGTCCCCCTTGAAACGCCCTTCCCCTGCTCCCTGCACTTCCCCTTTACCTAGCTTACTCCTGCCTAATGATGTGCACCTCAGAGACTTCAACACCACTAGGCCCAGCTGGGTGCCTGTCTTGTACAATTCCCATAATATTAGGTACAATCACATAATATTCCATGAACTCTGCAATTCTGTTTCCCCATAATTGTGTTACTATAATTATGTTTACTTGAAGGTTTTCCCCAATAAATTGTGAAGTACAGGAAAACAAGGACTGCTCTGTGTCTGGCACAGGGAGAGGTCTCAACATTAAATGGGTGGATGAATGAATGACTCTCACTATGGGCCTGAACCCAGAAAGCAGAGGACCAAAGTGAAAACACAATTGACCTTCATGTCCAAGGCCCCAGTACACTCTTGGAAAGGTGATAAAGAAGAAGTTTGCATATGTGCAGTAGGCAAAGCATCTGCTTTTGGGAACCAGGTACATAACAATCTATGATATGTCCCTTCCTCTGGGTGTGTACAGCCTCCTGAATCTGGAGTTCTGGCTGGGAAAGAAGGGTGTGTGACTTTCAGAAGGAATTAGGTATTTGGCATATTTCGTGAATCAACAGTCCTCTTTTTCTTTTGCACTTTTTTTGGGGGAAGGAGAAGTATTCTGCCTGAAGGCTTGGCTTCCTGGGAGTTTCCAGAAACTGGAGATTATAGAAGTTGACCAATCCTGCTAGAATCCTTGTCATTGTTTCAAACTGATTTCTGCTGAGGGAAGGGACTTGAAGTCAGAGAATTGTAGAGAATCTCCGAAATGAACCTTAAAGATCACTAAGTCTAACATCTCTTCCCATGTAAGGGCTTCTAAAACATGGTCCAGACAGGTCCAGATTCCCTGCAACCTGTCTCATGATGGATGGCCAAATGGTCTTCCTGCCTCTGCTTATGGGAACTGATGAATTCTGACAGGAAACCCAGGTAGAGGTTTGCATCTCCTCATCCCAGACCCACTTTGAGGAAGAATAGGACAGTGAAGATGGCCCCAGTGCACCCTCCCAGCCACTTCCAGGAGAGGAGTGTGTTGGGGGCTTTGGCAAGGGGGATGCTGCCTTCTCTGGTCACAGCCTCAAGCCCTCACATGTGTACAACCCTTTAGGGTCTGGACAGCCCTTGGCTAGTGTTCATCTGGTCTTTGAAGTTACTTCATGAGGCCAAGGAGGCAGGGATCAGTTTTAGGTGGGGCTTAAAGCTACTAAGTAACCCGACCAAGATCACAAAACAAGGCAAAATCAGTCTTTGTCCTGTAGCTCTTACTGCCTACCCGCATCTCTCCCAAATATGACTGCATAAAGGTTCCTGCTGTGGGCCAGACTGATGCTTAGCAAGTGTATTAGTCATATGTTTATGTTGTGTTTTTTTAACGTCTTAACTCCTTCAAATCAGAATGCTCACCAGCATATAAAAATCTCTAGAAATTTCAAATTAATCCGATTAAGTGATTATAGTGGATCCTAGCTAGACTGACCAATGATTATCCTTCAAATGGACCAAAAACATCTCCTGGGCAGGGGGCTTGCATTATGATGTCACCAGGCTGCACTATATCATAAAGATCCCCTGGAATCATTGGTCACCTAGGGTCTGGCCCCGTGCTAGCACCCAACTGTGGACAAGACCCAGAATCCACCTGTGAGGAGGGACTCCAGCTCTCTACAGTGTAGCCTGGCTCTGCAGTTTAGCCCTTATGGAAAGGACATCAAGGAGCCTTTGGAGGACTTAAACAGGCATCAGATTGTCCCTTTAGTTGTGGTGTGGAGAAGTGATCAGAGGAGTGAGGCAGGCTGTCAGGTGGCCCTGCTGGCCTTGGTGATATGGGTGTCAGGCAGTGGCAGCCTTTGCCAGAGGGGTGGTCATGAAGATGGATTCTCTAGCTGTTCAGACAGTGGAATCAGCAGTACCTGGCGGCTGGCTGAGGAATTTGGCAACGCCCTGTCCATACGCTTTTGCTTCTAGGACTTCTATATGTCTGTTACACCCACTATACTGCACACTCCTCAACAATGCCTTGCAAGCAGACCTGTCTAATTCATCTGTACAACGCCAGAGCCCAGTACCGTGCTGAGCACATAGTAGGAGCTCAGTAAATGTTAGTTGCATACATGAATAAACAAATATTTAAACTTCACCAAGCAGTAACTCCTAATGCTCATTGAGTGCCAAGCTTCTCAAGAGAGCCAGGGTCTCATCTGTGCCTTGGGAGTGCTGGCCGTCAGCCTGTCTGCCGAGGTTTTCCTGCTAAACTTTTCTCACCCATTGCCACCTACCTCCAGGAATCCTGTGGGATATAATGCAAAGGCTGGTAGCAGAGAGAGTGCTGAGACGTAGAAAGAATCCAGGCTCGGCCGGGTGCGGTGGCTCATGCCTGTAATCCCAGCACTTTGGGAGGCTGAGGCGGGCAGATCACGAGGTCAAGAGATGGAGACCAGCCTGGCCAACATGGTGAAACCCTGTCTCTACTAAAAATTAAAAAATTAGCTAGATGTGGTCGCGCCTGTAGTCCCAACTACTTGGGAGGCTGAGGCAGGAGAATCACTTGAACCTGGGAGGCAGAGGTTGCAGTGAGCCGAGATTGCGCCACTGTACTCCAGCCTGGCAACAGAGTGAAGACTTTGTCTCAAAAGAGAAGAGAAGAGACAAAAGAGAAGAGAAGAGAAAGAGAAAGAGAAAAAGAAAC